GGGCTTGCTCAAAGTCTCATCATGGCAGAGAGCATGATGTCAGGAAGGGCAGCCATGTCGCTGGATTAAGATGAGACTTATATCAGATCTGCAAGCAGGAGGCAGTGTTTATGAGGTAGGGGAGACAGAGAAGAGAGAGCACTACCTGGGTAAAGGCCTGGGCTTTTGAAACTTCAAAGCCCACCCCCAGTGACACCTCCCCCAACAAGGCCACACCTCCTAATCCTTCCCAAACAGTTCCACTAACTGGGGACCAAGTGTTCAAACATAGTAGCCTATGGGTGCTGTTCTCGTTCAAACCAGCACACTCAAGAGTGGAGCATTTGAATTTCTCCTCCATCCATGCTAGAATGTAGACTGGCTGATCTTGTGCAGGTCTTGTACAGGCAACCACCGCTGCTCTGAGTTTATGGGTACAGCTATCCTGTTAGGTCCAGAAGACACTATTTCACTCTGTTCCTCCCTGACCTCTGACTCATGTAATCTCTCTACCCGCTCTGCAGTGATCTTGAGCCTCAAGGAGGGGGTTTGATACAGCTGTCCCATTTGTGGCTGCACACTCCATAGTCACTTGTCCCTTTGATCAGTTGTGCGTTTCTGCCCACTGCACAGAGAAACTTCTCTGATGAGGGCTGAGAAGTGCATTGAACTATGGGTGGAGAGATCGAAATTTAGAAGGCAGTTTGATCCTGTGTCCTTTTAGCAAAATAATAGTAGGTTCAACCATGGGCTCTTAGCTAGCTTATGGTACCAGGTAACTGTTTGCTCCTGTGGAGCTTTAAACCCTGTCAGAAAGTAGTTGTTACCCCAATAACATTTGAACCACTACTCTGCCCATAGGCATGTCTTTCTACTCTGGCCATTATTGCAGGTCACAGACTTCCTAGCTGGTAAAACTATTAATGGTGTTATCCCCAACAGCCGGTGGAAGACCCTCTCTCAAAATAAGTAAATAAGTATTAGGTCAGTACCTGAGGAACAACACCCAGTGTTTTGCTCTGTGCAATTGTGACTTGCATAGCAGTTGAAAGGTAGTTAATCTTCATTCTCCAGACCTGTGTGATCATTAATATTCCATGTTTTGGTTCCTTTAAAACAGAACAAAGCAGTAAGAGCTAGATTATTTTAGAGGGGAAGACTCTGTGACTTTATTCTAAGTTACTGCTTATAGCAGTTCCTAAAACAGATTGCTTAGGCTGTGAAGACTCAGCACGGGTCAGGGAGGTCAGGTGTGCTGAGAGCTCATGAGAAGAAACTCAAGAGTGCCACGGTGCCCAGCAACAGCCTAGCCTCCAGCTCTGCAGACTGCCAGTACCCAGACAGTCACACCTTCTGCGCTGAACAGGTCTCTTAAACAGAGGTATGGTGGCATCAGAGTCATAGTATTGAGTTGAACATCACAAGGATGAAGCTGATTCTAAATCTTCTTTGCCCAGCATTCATGTATTTGGAGATGTAAACACATTGGGGTGGCTTTCCTTTAGCCGCTCTGTGCGTGTCCTCTGTATGTGAACAGTCGGAAAACAAAGCCACCATTGAGTTCCATAGATGCAAAAGAGAGGTGGAATGAATGCCAGCCTTCTGGAAAGCTGTTTTTTTTTTTTTTTTTTTTTTTTCATTTTGGGCTAACTCCAGTAACTAAATACATTTGCCAAGTGAAAGAGCTGATGTTGAGAATGAGCGTGGAGTGTTTTAGTTTAGTGTATGTTTTGGAGAACAGGCTACAGAAAGCAAGTTCTAAAGCCAAAGATAAAAGTTCTGTCTTAACTTTGCCTAAAGAGCCATGTGAGTAAACATTTCACCATGCCCCTCGATATGGCTCAGCTGCCTAGATGTCACCGGCCCCAACTGGCTCAGATCCTCCTGCCACCCTGATTTTCCCATTTGTTTTCTATAGCATTTTTTTCTCTTTGCAGTGACAGGATCTGGCCTGTCCATGTTAGGTGCACAGGGAAGGCAGACTCTGGAGCAGTAAGGTGAATGGCGTCATGTTACTTTAGGTCTGTGCTGTTCCTAATTCTTACTCAGTTCTTTGTTTACAACTCCCTCTTTCCCCTGCCTTCTCCAGTCCAGTCCTGGTTATGTCTGAACGCACTGTGAGACATCTGAGAGAACTCTTAGGAGGAGAACACAGTATAGGAACATCCTTTTTTTTTTTTTTTTTTTTTTGGTTGGGGGGGATACCCAACTGTTTAACTCCAGTTATAGGGGATCTGATGCCCTCTTCTGACCTCTGTGGGCAGCATACACAGGACTCATAGACACATACAGGCAGAATAAAATAAAAGTGATTCTAAGCAAAAAGCAAAGTACCCTAGATAGGGTTGAGCTGCATTTCTCTAATCACTAAGTACACAGCTGCTTGCAGACACACCCTGGACCCTGACACCCTCACTAAGGTTGGCGTGGTGACCCCAGAATGGGTGATGCCAGAAGCAGGAGCCAGTGGGCACAGTATAACTCTGCACAAGGGTGGAACACAGAACAAGGGTCTGAGAGAGCCCTGTGAGGACAGTGCTCCCACCCACCCCGCCCCCATACATAGGGAAAACCCTGTGGGGTTAGTAGTCATTGACCACGGGGAGCATGGCTTGTGATAGTGGGGGAAGGTGCTTAGAGGTGGCCTGGTCAGGCTCTCCATCACAGTCCCCACACACCAGTGTTCTTTCTGCTTGTCCCAGTTCACACTCAGCACTACGCTCAGTTCGCTCTCCATCTGTAACAGTAATGATTTTCTGCTGTAATCTTAGCCACTGTAACTCCATCCCTGTTCCCACCATTTAAAAAGCACACTGACTTAGTTATAATTGCTTTTAGCAAATTACAAATTCTAAAAGCCAACACTTTTAAGAACCCCTGGCTAGGGCAGGGGTAGGAGGTGGGAAGTACTAGCTCAGTGGTTAATAGTGCTTGCTACTCTTGCAGCGGACCTAAGTTCAGTGGCTCACAGCCTCTGTAGCTCTCAGTTCCAGAAATCCAATACTCTCTTCTGGCCTTTACAGGTACCATGTATGTAAGTGGTGTACCTGTGTACGTACAGTTGAAATAGTAATAAGTAAGGCTCAGTCCTGTGCCATTGGGGCAGAGTGCCGTGGAGAGACAGACAAACACAAGACTGGTGTGCTGTGATAGTACACAGAGTAGACTGCTATGGGGTGTGAAGAGGCCCTGCCCTGTGCATCCAGATAGAATCTGGAATTGGGGTTATTCAGAAGAGAGGAAGGCATTCTAGATGGACAGGGCATGAGCAAGGGTGAGAGTATAGTGGCTCTCTGAATCCTGGCCCACCTATCCATAGCCCAAGACACGGGGACATGGAAGGGAGAGTGGTCAGATGGTTTGGGACCTTGAAAATGATGACAGGGGTCAGCTTTGGTCTTCTATCCTATAGACAAAGGGAAACTTCAGAGAAGCTTCTAGCAATGGTTGACATGGTAGAAGAGTGTTGCTAGGAGCTCTGGGAGGGATAACATGGATGGAGCCTGGATGTCAGAGACTGTTAGGGTGAAAGAGATTGGAGGGCAGTCATGGTGGAGCCCAGATTGGGCCTTTGTGTTTTTAGTACCAGCACCCAGGGTGCTAGGGCACAGTCTGTGTAGTCCACAAATGTGCAACATAATTAGAACAGTTAAATCTGGAAGATAGAAGAGAGAAAAGATGCTTAGCTTGATATAGCCAGTAGAGGAGGACAGTTCTGTCTGTGGCACCAAGAGAAAGCTGTTCCTTTTGAAGAAGCTTGATTTGAATTAGGAGAGGGCTTAAGAACCATGTCTAAGGAGACAGCCAGAGAGAACTCAGATCCGCCTCATAGATAAATTCGGAGTTAGACTCCCAGCAGCTGTCCTTACTTTGCCTGCCTCCACCAGAAAAGCATCTTGGTATGGTTCTGTTAGCCCCCCCCCCCACCTGAGTGAAAGAACTCCTCCCTATCTGTAGACTCACTGTAGGAATGGTGTTATTCCATCAGCCAGGCTCTGGCCCAGGGTTTCCACTCAGCTTCACTTTAGAAGTCTGTTGACCATGTCAAACCCATGCCAACTGTCTCATTGGTAGAAGGAATCCCTGCCTTTTCTGTGGACAGCAGCTCATTCAAAATAGGCTCACCTGGCCTATTGTGACCTGAGATGAAAGATGTAGAAGACAGTTCCTCAGCTATCCCAGGGAACCAGTCCACTCCAGCATCTGCAGGTGCTCACTTCGGAAATAAAGTGCTTTGTTACTAAGCCTGGTCACAGTTGTCAACACACACAGAGAGAGAGAGAGAGAGAGAGAGAGAGAGAGAGAGAGAGAGAGAGAGAGAGAGAGAGAGAGAGAGATCTGTGGCTGCCCTGTTGCCAGTTAGAATAGAGAATGTTGAGGGAGACTCTGTCTTCCCTGCCCACAAAGTTCCAGCCTCTGCCTTGATAGTCAGCTGGCCAACATGCTTGGGCTAAGACACAGCACATCCCTGCTGTGAAAATCTATAAGTGCAGTTCTGAGAATTTTTCCCCCCTGTGGAATTTCTTAGTGTGAGCTACTATGAACCAAAATTGTAAAAACTAATAGTCAGAGCCTGAATATTTCAAACTTTGAGTAATGAGATAGGAAAACAAAGAGGCACTTGAAGAATGTGCTCTCACAGTGGCTGTGAGGTGGGCGGTGTGAGAATCTGGAATTAACCGCTGGTTAATGTCGCTGGGGTTCACTTATCCTCTGTTCTGCCAACCTACAGACTGTATAGCACTTCGGGATTGGATCCTGGCAGCTTTTGGAAGCACGATGTTTCTATGTCTCTCCACCTATAATTTTATGCATAGATTCCACCCCTTCTAGGCAGTTTCCCAGCTGTTCCCTCAGGAACCTTATTAGCCAGATGTTCCTCTTGTGGGTTTCCTTCATTTTCACATTCCACAAGGCTGCCTGCTGCCTTTGTGGTGTTTATATGATGTCTTCTGCCATGCATTACCTTGTGGTTTTTCTCTCTGAGTTGTTGACTTCATTCTTTTGCTTCACACTTACAGGCTGTCTCCTGGTTCGGACATCTATGTGACAGTCTCATCCATGGCTTTGGCAAGATCCCAGTGCCGTAACTCCCCCAGCAACCTGTCTTCATCCAGTGACACTGGCTCTGGGGGTGGTACCTACAGACAAAAATCCATGCCCGAAGGGTAGGTATGCCATTTGTTCCCCCTGGAGAGTGGTGCATCATCAGTCTTCTCTGTGTTCAGACATGTGAAATGATACCCCTTCAGACAGGCCTCATAAAGCTCCACACAACCGGCAGAGAAGATGGAGCTGATGCTCCAGATAGAGGAACGTCCAGTGGCTAGGTCAAACCACTTCTGAGTAAGATGATCAGTCTAAAACCAGTGCCACAGCGAAGTCAGATAGCATCATCCATCTCTCATCACACGTATCGTTAGTATCTCCAGAAGGATTTTGTCACTTCCTAATACTTCCTCCAAAGTGAACTCAGAAAAACACTGTTTGCGCTGGATTCACATTGCTGTGATAGAAAGAAAATGATGGCCACACCCTAAGCTTGAAATTATCTTGTAAAATACCTGTATTTTGTTGATTTGTTTTTTGTTTTGTTTTTTAGTTGTTGTTGTTGTTACTTGGTCTTTCAAGACAGGGTTTCTCTATGTAGCCTTGACTGTCCTAGAACTTGCTCTTTAGACCAGGCTGCCTAGAACTCACTGACATCTGCCTGCCTCTGCCTCCCGAGTGCTGGAACAAAGCACTGCCTGGCTGCTGTTTTCTTTCTAATCCTCATTGACACTAAGTGCCCAAAAGTAACCTTTTGTTCTGACAAAGCTTACACACAGGCTGAGGCTGTAGCTCAGGTATGAGGACTCACCTAGCTTGCGGCCCTCAGTTCTGTCTCCAGTGCTGCTAGAGAACAGAACTAAAGTCAAAGGGGAGGGAACTACACCCAATTTTAAAGAGCACTGTGGGGTAAGGGGCCTGGGATGTCTGAGGCTTAGAAGTAATGGGCACAGAAGCACAGCATAGCACACATCAGCTGCCTCGTGCAGACGGAGGGAACCAAGCTGTGTGTTTTCTCTGGGGGACCTGAGGAAGAACTTGAACCATTCAAGTTTTCCAAAGACTGATTAACAGATGGACATGTGATTTGATTACCTTCCTGAGATTTCACCATGTCAAAAATTAGCAAGCACTGATAATACCCTCCTAGTGGGTATTTTCTCACTATGACTAATATTCTGTTGTGTTTAAAAAAAAGATTTGTTTGTATGTTCATATGTGTTCTGCTTGCATGTATATATATGGACCACGTTCATGCCTATTGCCCTTGGAGGTCAGAACAGGGCATCACATCCCCTGGAACTAGAGTTATGGATGGTTGTGAGCTGCCTTGTGGGTCTGGGCATCAAACCCAAGTACTCTAAGAAGAGCAGCCGGTGCTCTTAAAAGATGAGCCATCCCCCAGCTCCTCCACTGTTTTTCATGACCATTGGATGTGAATATGAATGTTGATATTAACAGAAGGGAGGTGATAAAAGCTCTGCAATACGCCTTCTCCACCTTGCTGTCGCCCCAGTAGCCTGTTTGAAGTGCATACATCTTACTGTAATTGCTTCAATGATGACTAGAAAATAATTTTAGCTTTTCCTCATCAGTCCCTGCAGAGGGGTTGTGAGTCACTTATTGTACCGCACCACAAGCTGAACTAATTATTTCTTATTTAAATTGGATTTTAAATGGTATGATTTGCCTTCACAATGAAGAAGTCAGCATACCTTCATCATTATTATAGCACTAAAATGTAAATGAGCCAACAATAAAAAGGTTTTTTTTCCTGTCTGTGATACACTCTAAATGTATATCAACAAAGCAAGGGGAGACATTAGTGCTGTAGTTGATGCTAAAAACCATGAGTCCCATGCCCCCAATGCCCCGTTTTTGTTAGCAAAATGGCGATTATTCCATTGGGAATGCTAGCCAATCTGTATCCTAGATGATATTGAGGGGTTTTCAATCTTTGAGGTCACCTTGGACTGCTGACAACATCACATAATTTCTTTTGTACCTGGGGATAACCTTTTAAAATAACAATAATATTAATAATAATATTAATAAGAAGAAGAAGGAAGAAGAAAGAAGAAGTGTTGCCTGCTATATACTAAAGCCATTTTGGTGTTGTTTGTTTGTTTTCATATTATTTTTTAAGACAGGGTTTCTCTCTGTAGCCCTGGCTAGCCTCAAACTCATGGATCTGCCTGTTTCTCCCATCTAAGTGCTAGATTAAAGGCATGCACCACTACACAAAACCGTTTCATAACACATCTGTGAGGCAAGAGGTAGTCTGGCTCACTGGTGTGTCTTGCTGTTGCCAATGAAGTTTGATCCTGAAGTTACCCTAACCCAGGAAGAGCATTTGTGTCCAAGTTGATGTTGAAGTGTCTATGCTGTGCCAGGTACCTGTTAGTGTTAGGCATGCATGACATCATAACAGTAGCTGGCAAACAATGGCTGTCCATGGACAGTGTACAATGTTGGTGTCCCTGCCTCACCTCAAAGGGCCTCATGTCTGTACCTGTGTGGTATAAGCCTTATCATTCTTTGATCCTAGGACATTGAGGGTTGAAAGTAAATAGGGAGATTCATAGCACCTGTGCTATTTGAGTAGGGGAGAAAAGCTACAATACAAACATAATATGGGAATTAGAGATAATGAAAAAGCATCTCAGTTTAAAGGCTGGGCTAGGGGTGTAGCTCAGTGATAGAGCTTTTCCTTAACAATTACAAAGCCCTAAATTCAGTCCCTAACAAAACCAGACAACAACAGCCAAACAACACAGCATAAGGCTCTTCTCCCAGCTTAGAAATGCATTTTGATACCACTCATGAGAGTTTTTTCTAATTGTTCCTAGTGAGGAATTACACTTGTCTGTGATGGGGGCTAGAAGCAGCTTCCAGTCCACTGTGAAAAAGTTTCAGAGGTGCCAGCCTCCTGCACAGAAGTGGGCAGCTTGGGCAGCTGCATGCCTGACCATTGAGTGTGTCCTATGTGAGCCTAGAGATTGCTTTCAGATACCTCCAGTGTCTCAAAATGTCAAGTGTGTCTTCTAAAATGAGGCCAAGTGTGGGATTTAGACCTCTTGTTTAAATCCCTCAAGGACACGAAGTTTACTTGGGTTCTCTGACACACAGCATCTATGTAAGAAGTAAAATGCTTTTCAAGGTAGAATTTAAAGTGTCTTGGTAGTTATGATTTTCCTTTAAATTTGGAGGTGGTGAAAGTTACCTCTTAGTTTCCTCTGCTACAAAAAAAGAAGAGGGAGGTTGGAAAAAATGTCTAACTGGCATCCTTTGGTGCACATTTAGAATAGGACTGAAGGGTCTGAAGGGTCAGTGTGAGGGTTCTCATTGCTGAGGGGAAAGAAAGCAGATTTGGGAATCTCCTCCTTCCCAGATGTTTTCATAAATCAAGAGTTCTTTCTTGGGCTACAGGCATACACAAGATGGCATTTCACCGTGAGCCTTGCAAGGGGGCTTCTACCCAGGATGCAGTTACCCCAGCAACTGGGAAGATAGTTTCACAAATTTTACTGTAGGAAATATTTTTGTGGCCTTCTGTACTTTTCAAGACTTTAGCCTAGATTTTACTACCTAGAGTTCTGTAATGGAAATGCCAAGTGTGTGTAAAGAGAACGAGACAGAGTTCAAGGGTTTTGTTTAGTTCTACTGGGTCACCAGTTTCAACTCAGCTCCATGTTTGCTCATTCCCAGAGTCCCCCCCCCCCTTCCCAAAATAGCTCTTGCAAGTCCTGGCCATGTGTCAGTCATCACAGGTAAAGCACAGCCATCAATTGATACAGAACCTATAGAGGGCTATGTTATTAAGTTCTTCGGAAGTAATTTAGTAACTGTCTTAGTTAGGCTTCCTATTGCTATGAAGAGACACCATGACAACTCAAAAGAAAACAGTTAATTCCAGCTGGCTTACAGTTTCAGAGGTTGAGTCCCTTATCATCATTGTGGGAAGCATAATGGTGTGCAGGCAGGCATGGTGCTGGAGAAGGGACCGGGAGTTCTACATCCAGATCTGCAGGTGCAGGGAGAAAATGAATGTCACACTGGGCCTGGCTTGAGCATCTGAGACCTCAAAGCCTGCCTCCAGTGACATACTTTCTCCAACAATGCCACACCCACTCCTGTACCTATTCCAACTCCTCCTAATAATTAATGCTCCCTATGGCCTGTACAGGCCATTTTTATTCGAACCACTGCAGTAACCATGGAAAATATAGTGAATTTCAACATAAATACTTGAATTCTACACTTTGGTCCTTTGTGATCTCAAGAGTTCCTGTCAACATTTGTGCCGTGTTGATAGAGACCTATGATTTCATATGACTTAGTAAAACAAACATTACTATTTTTTCAAGGGGTGAATCAAACTGTCTTTTAAATAGCTACATTTCTCTCTGAAAGTAGATATTTACCATTTTACATGCCAGCTTACCTACTTCTACATTGCCCTTCCTTAATAGCAGCTTAAAATTCATATAGTTAGAAAGTGGCTTGCATATATCATAAATGGTAGTTCTGCCTTTGTTTTTCAGATCAGAGTACATTGCTCAGAAAATAATTGATCCAAGAGTAAATTAATGATTCAGTGCATTTTTTAATTACGAGAAACAACCTTCCATAGGTGTACTATTTGGAAGATGTGTATGAGTGACTTAAATGGGCTGATGATAAATGGCAGTCTACTATGTGGTCTGGTGGACTTGGGCCTCTTGCTGTCCTGGCCTTCTGTTAGCAAGCTCCTTGCCCTAGTTAGCACTTGGTTTCAATAATAAGCATACCTTCCTGAGCACAGAGCTGTGTCTACGTGCACAGACGTGCAAGCAGAAACTGGAAATACCTGTCATCAGAATCAGGACTCCACCTTGCGGGTAAAGATTCTCATGTGTCTTGCTTTTGTTTGGGAATCACCACTGCAGGTTTGGGGTGAGCCGAAGATCCCCAGCCTCCATCGACAGGCAGAACACTCAGTCAGATATTGGTGGCAGTGGGAAATCCACACCCAGCTGGCAAAGAAGTGAGGACAGCATTGCCGACCAGATGGGTAAGTGATTTATATAAAAGTGCTTTCAGAGCAAGGGACCTTGATATTTTTTCAAAGCATGGTGTTGTAAAAGATGTCCCAGTCTCACATAGCACGTGTGTGAGAGAACTGGTCTCTGCTAGACTAGTGCATGTGGAAGTAATAGATAAAGTCAGTGGCTCTCAGTGACCCGCAGACTCCAGCCAGAGTGACCAGGGCCATGTTTGATGGCCAGTGTGCTGAAACTCCTGTATCCTCAGTACTTTTCTTTCTCCCTGCTTGCTTGCTAGGGTTGGTTGATTGGTTGGTTTTTGCTTTGTGCCTGGGATGATTGTTTATTATTCTTCATGTTGACTTGTAAGGAGAAAGAAATCTCTGTAAATGTAAGAAGAGATTGAATTCTTGTTTGGTCACATTTGTATCTTGGTTAGACTCCCTCTTCTGCCCGATGGATATTTTTTTTTAAAAAATTCCCCTCACTCTTATCAGCTAAGAAAATTTCTGAACAAAAATGGCAGAACAGAATGAGTTCAGTAGGGAGCCCTCATTCATGTTTCTGGTGCACAGCCCTTTGAGGACATGGAGGAGAAATCAATCCGTCTACAATGGCACCATGAACACTGTGTGTGACGATGAAATGTTTGCCGTCCAGCAATCAGACTTTAACAGACACACCAGAAGTTTGAGGCCAGCCCAATCCATACATTAGAGACCTGGTTGTGAGCTGTCACCTTGTACTTCCATCCCATAGTCTTTCTTCCTTTTTCTGAAAGTATTGCCATCAACATGGGATAAAGACATACACCTTTCATGCCTGAAACAAACATTTAAGGCAAAGAAAACCTACCCTTTGTTTCCTGAAGGTTAATGGGTTTGTCCTGTGTGAATGACTGCCCAAGTAAATATATGAAAGTTGAAGAAATAAAGTGTAATTCCTAGGTCCCGAAGACATGCTTTATTCCAGTGTGCTTTGTTGTTGAAGCCATCTGTCACTCTCCAATCTTATCCCACCCACCCCTAACTCTGAAAACCTGAGCATATTCTGTCTGCTTCCCTGCTCTTGACAGAATGTCTTTAATCCCATATGTTTTGATGCTGTTGGGATGGTAACATCACATATGAGCAGGCTCCTCTGCAGCATTACCTTAGTGGCTTTTTCTGGTTCCCAGTGCACACTCTGACCAAGGCTGCAGCAAGCCTTTGTGTGCCCAGTGTGATACTTCCACTGGGAATCACAAGGTGTCTGGGCACCAGAAGAATAGTTACACAGTTCAGTTCGTCATGCAGTCATATTCACCGCCTCACATGAAGTGCTCTCCAGTCTTCCTCCTGCATCTACTACAGTGTAGTGGCATGTCACTCTGCACAGCGTACAATGCCAGTCTGAATCTGGATTAATCCTCTGAGGACACTGGTTCATCCTTCCTGTACGATACAGCTTTAAATCTGACAGTCGGGGGCCCTTAGAGTTGGCTTGGGAAGACTTCACTAGGCTGTGTAAAGTGTGATTAGTGGCTTTCCTTCTCTCAAAATCTATTAGCTGGGCATGGTGGATCATGTCACCACCATCTGTATTGCCCCACGTTTCTGTGTCACATGTGGGAGCTTATGTTTTTGGGGCTACCGTCAGAGCTAGCCAAGCAGCCCACCATTTCGTAGCTGAGATAGTAGTGTGGACTGAAGATAGCTTAGCTAAAGATGTTAAAGGAAAGACAAAGACACAGGAATAAAATCAGGAGGGTACACCAGTCAATACTGAAATGCCATGAGTTTATTTTTCACCCCTCTTCTATACATTAACCAAAAGGGGAACATGGTATCGTGTATACTGAACAGACAGGCTTTTCTTCCTCATTTCTCCAGGGATTCAGTAACCACACCTTAGATTCAACTTCTTGTTACCTGGCCTTGAGGGTCAGGAGTAACCACACCTCAGATCTCAGGTCTGTTTTTATTTAGATAAAACACCCAAGGCTAAGCCTGAACATCCTCCTGTAGCCATGCCTTTGGCCTTTAGGTCTTATGACTTACTGAGGACAGTTTTGAACTCTCTGTCCTTGAGCCAGAATGGAGTGGAGCCATCTTTATGGGCACCAACAGGATCATGCCTTTAATCCCAAGCTAGGGTAAGGGGGTTGGCTGAGTTAGGAGAATGCCATCACTTCAAAGCCATATTGAGCCACATAGTGAGTTCCAGGCTACTGCAGGCTACAGAGTGAGATCTCATTTCAAAATGCTAAAATACATTTTTAAATTTGGGGTCCCCAGCATTCCAGGAGAATAAGGCAGCCTTTCCTGGTTGGCACATCATAAGGAATCCAGGGCTTGATGTTCTGGCTGCCCAGCCTTTTGGTATTGAAGTAAGACTTGGTTATCTGTGAAGGTCACACTCAAAGAGCTACAGTCAGTTTACAAAAAAAAAAGAAAAAAAGAAAGGAAAATATCCCGTAGTGATGTGGCTGGACATGGTGGCACACATCTTCAATCCCAGTGCTCAGGAGGCAGAAGCAAGGGGATCTGAGTGTCTAAAGCCAGAACTGCATAGTGAAACCCTATTGTAAAACAAAATGTGTGTGTGTGTGTGTGTGTGTGAGAGAGAGAGAGAGAGAGAGAGAGAGAGAGAGAGAGAGAGAGAGAGAGAGAGAATCTCATAGTGTTTTTAGTAAATTCACTTTTTTTTTTTTTGCATTCATAGCCATCCTTAGTTTCCTGTGTCCTATGGGCTTCAGGTTGGACATACCTGGCAGTCATTCTAGAGAAAATATATGAAAAATGTTAGGCTTTTCCTGGCTTGGTATATGATGCATAGAGTTGGCCTCCTCATACTTGGTGTGGATGTAACTGGTACCTGCTAGACAGGCTGATCCATCATTGCAACCAGTGTGCTGTGAACCAGTTCTTCCTGACAGTGTGGGCAGGCTCAGCTTGATCGACAGGCTCACTTGTCTCCATGGATGCTTCTTTCTACCTCACTGCTCCTGGAGCAGGCTACCTGGTCCTCTGCAGGTCAAGAAGGGTGTTGGAGAAATCCATAATTCTTGTTAGCTCTAGGTGGTCAGGGTAAATCACGGCCTTTTGCTTTGGGAACCCCCTCTTGGATGCCAGTTTGGAATCCGAAAGGAAGTGATCATTGGAAGTAAAGTAGTTGCTGTGTGTCTGTTGTGTCATGCTCAGTTTGCAGTTATAGAGGACCTCAGGGATGCACTTCTTTCTAAAAGTTCCCAAAGTGTCACAGTAACACGTGATCGCATCCATGCCTGTCTAGGGAATGGACACTGAGCTAGGTTAGCTTCACCGCAGTGACTGATTCTTGAGTTTAACCCAAGTATTCAGAACTTCCCCCAAACAACAGTTCTGAACTTAGCTGCATTGTTCATGGTCTTTGGTTTTGTGGCACTTGATTGTGCTAATGTGTATGATGTGACATGTTGTCACCAGCTGCAAGCTTTCATTAGCCACCTAGTTTCTGGCATGCTGTCTCTTGTGTAGACTCCTAATAAGCTTGTGCTGGTGCCCAGAGTTGTCTAGTCAGTGAGCTCTGAGAGATGGGTGGCAGGCCATCTCCATGTGACAACTACCATAATGTCCTGTGCTGTGTTCCAGAGCCTACATGCCATCTCCCAGCAGTGTCAAAGGTCCTGCCTGCTTTCCGAGACAGCCCCAGTGGGAGATTAATCCGGCAAGATCCAGTGGTTCACTTGTCTCCAAACAAACAAGGCCATGTAAGTTCACCGCGAGCTTAAAGAAATAACTGATATCCAGAAATGTTTTGTGATTCCTGTGGTCTGAAAATGGCATCCACCTGCTCCACCCCAACTCTGTGTGGCAGAAGGCAAGGTACCTTATTGGGTTTCGCACAGCCCAGATTCTGAGCTCCTTTAGTGTAAACTCTATTCTGAAGAGTAGGTCTGCATCCCCACAGGTCTTTAGGAACATTCAGGAATTCAGAAGAAACCATAATGTTAGAAGGAGAACTGTGCAGCAAAGAGTGTCTACCTCTCCACATAGCTGGGAGAACGAGTGGGGCCAGACAGACAGACAGACAGGTCAGGGCTTTCCACAGCCTGCTGCTTTTCTTGTCAGCATGGCGGTATATGGCCCTTCTGTTGTAATGGCGTTTCTCATCGTCTTAGGGTACACAAAGCATTTTGCAGGTTAACGTTCACTCCCTGTCCCCTCCCTTCTTCTCTGTGTGAAAAGTGTGTTTGTGTTCTGGTCACTTGCTAGGATGGGAAGTTCATGTTTGTGGCCTTTGAGGGTGCTCAGATTGTACCAGTTTCCTTCTAGAGAAATGAATACTGAAGCTAAAAACCAAGTGAGTCTGTGGCCCTATACTTTGCTCTGTAGGTTTGCTAGGGCCCATGTTCTCCACAACTCTACTTAACATAGGATTGATATTTGAACCAACCTGAACTTTCCCTTTCTTGTTATCAATTTTATACTGACTACCTAATAAAATAATATTTGGAATATGTGGTGAGATCAGGGTTACGTAAATTAATGTTTCCTGTTTCTTCTTACTTTCTGGCTGTGAGAAAATTTCAAATATATTTCAGCTCACTCTCACTTAGGGCAGGCACACTTAGGACTCAGAGGCCACCTGTCCCTGGGGCCCCATGGTGGCAGCTCAGGGACAAAACTGGGGGAGTTCTGCACAATTCCCAGGCATGGCGCACACCTGGCACCCAGCACTCAGAAGGCAGAAGTAGGAATGTACAGCCTGGGCAGCGTACTGAGATGATGTCTACAAAACCTAAAGTTAAATAAACAGACTTGTTACTCTGAAAAGTTAGAGCTCCATTAGGAAAGTGGTTGGGCGGTGCCTTTTCAAGGTGAAGGTTTCACTCCAGGTAAACCAGATGTCCTTCCACTCTGGTCTTGGCCAGTAAAGGGTATCTCTTCTCCGCATCTTCTTGTCTCCAGCAAGTTGCTGGGTTTTCTGTCTCCCTCTCGTTTAAGTATCACCTCCCAGAGCGCTTGCTCAGTCTGTGCAAGGCCCTGAGTTCATCCTGCAGAACCATCTGTACACCAGAAGTTTGTTCAGGTAGCTTTCAAAGCTTGTTTGGTGAAGTCTATATAACATTCTTTCTAGGCTTCTGAGCCACTGAGTACACATCTTTATTGAGATGTCACTCATGTGCCATAAAATTGACGTACTTAAAGAATGTGATTTGGTGGCTGTTAATATATTCAAAGAGAGTCAGGAGCTCAACAGGTAAAGGCACTTGCCATCAAGCCTGATGACCTGAATTCAATCCCCAAAACTCACATGGTGGAAGGAGAGAACCAACTCCAGCCAGTTGTGTTCTGACCTCCACCACTCACTGTGGCATATGCATACACTTAAATAAGTAAATGTAATTTGTAATAATATGCACATAGTCAAAGAGTTGTCACCATGATCTAATTTCGGAACTTTTTCATTACTCTGAAAGCCTGTATCCTTCAGTAGTCACCTCTGAATCCCTACCCCTTCCAAGACTTAATTTACTTGGAGCATCTATGGGTATGTCTACACTTGCCACTGCACTTCAGTGGAAACCATATGGTCTGTGGCCTCCTGTGTCTTAAGTTCTTTTATTAAACATGGATTAAAAATTCTTATTCATGTTGTAGCTACACTTGCAGTTTATCCCTTTTTGGGACTGATGGATGGAGATTTGTATGTATATGAGAGAGATTGTTCTATTTTTAATCTATTCATAAGTCAGTCACTGGGCTTGTGTCTACTTTTTTTTTCTATTATGATTAATGCTGCTATAAGCACTCAAGCCTATGTGTTTGTGAATATACATTTTCATCTCTCTTGAGTCTTCATCAAGAATGAAATTGCCGTTATTTTCCCATTGCTACTGCCCCAGTTTTCATCCCTAATAATGCTCCCCTCTTTTTCTGTCATTTTGTTTGGAGGATTTCTTGTGTGTGTCAGGTCCTCACTCTGCTTTGCTCTACATTTCCCAGTGCCCAGTGACACTGAGACCCTTTCCATGTGGTCATTGACATTTCGGTATCTTTTCTGCAGAGGCCCTGTTCACAGGTCACACCATTTTTAATGTACTACTTGAAACACAACTGGTTTTGATCCAGGTACATGTTTGTTGTCCTCGCGGTGTCCTAGCTAAGAAACCATGGTAACTCCCACAGTCAAAAAATTTATACATGTTTTTGTTTCATGTTTTACAAAGCTGTAACTTGTACATTTAAGTCTTCCCTGTCTCTTAATTTTTTTTTTCTATGCAGTGAGGTTTCAACAACTTCTTGTTTTGGTTTTTGTTTGTTTGGTTGGTTGTTTGCTTGCTTGGTTGGTTGGTTTGGAGGGTTTTGGCATGTGAATATCCAGTTGTCTCAGTACCATTTAGTGATGAGACCAGTTTTCCCTGCTAATGAATTATCTTGGCCTCTCTGTATATCTTAACTTTGAGCACTAGTTAGAAAGCTGTCTCCTTAGCTCATGCTAACTGGGGAAGCACAAGAGTTCAGACTTCATCTCAGATTCTGCCTGCCAGCCACTGAATGTGGCTTCAGGGTCAAGCACACTTTCTAATTATAAGCCCATTGGAAATGTCATTTCCTTTCTATGTTAAGGTAATAAAGATGCCAATGAACGCTTATGTTTTTTTCTGGTTAAAATGCCATTGTGTTGTTATGACATGTAGCCTCTCCGCCAGGGACACCACAGATGAGCCCATCAGTCCAAGTGCTGTCCCCGGCACTCTTACCTTGTTTTGACTTGTTATTGGAGCTTTATTAATTAGATATATTGCAGAGTGTGTGCATCCCCTCCACCCCCATGAATCTTTCTTGGTGTCCAGGGTGTGACCCCTGAGTGTAAGTAACTCTTGGCTTCTGTTGTAGTCTGACAGCCACTACTCCAGCCACTCCAGCAGCAATACCCTCTCCAGCAACGCTTCAAGTGCCCACAGTGACGAGAAGTGGTATGACGGGGACCGCACAGAGTCTGAACTCAACAACTATAGCTACCTACAGGGCACCTCTGCTGACAGTGGTATCGATGCCACCTCCTATGGCCTGAGCCACGGCAGCACGGCCTCCCTGGGGGCTGCCACATCGTCACCTCGTTCGGGGCCAGGCAAAGAGAAAGTGGCGCCCCTGTGGCACAGCTCCAGCGAGGGGCTCTCCCTGGCAGATCGGACCTTAGAGACTGAGGGTCATGGCCTGGACAGGAAAACAGAGTCCTCCCTCAGCCTGGACCTCCACAGCAAGAGCCAGGGCGGCTCCAGTCCACTGACCAGGGAGAACAGCACCTTCAGCATAAATGACGGCGCGTCACACACCAGGTAAGTGCCCTCCAGCCTCTGCCCACGGGGGTCCCCCACTTTAGTGTTCAGTGATGTCCTCCGAGACACCGGGGTCTATGTACATTTATTTATAAACACTATATTTTATATGCTGTTCTACTTTATGCCATTTATTTCTCAGCAAAATAGTTAGCAATCTGCATTATTTCAAATAAGGAGAAAATTCTGCAGATACTTAATTGGAAAGTTGGGTTATTTTTTTTTTTAATTCCCCTAACTGCATTCCAGAATTAGTTTTCTAATTTTGATTTTCAGCATTGATATATAATGAATATAGAGAGCTACAGATTTTTGAAGATATTTGAAGTCTAGGCAATATTTTTAAACGAAGTGGTCTTTCCTAAGATTGGCAGCTTTTCCAGCTCCCTGCCCTAGCCCCTCGCTTCCCCCATGTTTCCATTTCTGGTTCCTGACAGTGACGCGAGAATGTCTGAGGCCATCAGCAAAGCACAGCTAAGGTACAGTGTGCCCTTTCTACAGTGGGAGAGCACACTTCAGCCGTGTCCTTGGCCCTCACTCCACTAAGCAAAATAATGCTGTTCTTCTCGTCCTTACAGTCACAGTGTGATAGATAGGACTCTGTCTTAGGGAGGAAGCGCTCTGCTCTACACCTCTGCATCTCTGTTCATTACCTGTTACTGTTAGATGCTGCTGGTCAGTGTGTGACTGTCTAACCTGGCTGCCCCCCATCCCCTACCCCCCATTCCCACTCCCCACCCCCACCCCAGCAGTGAAGACTAATACAGCTTTGGAATTTTCCAGATGAGAAGCCGTGTATGTAATCTGCTCGTAAATGCCAAATCACCTTGATGGGAAAAGACATCTACTTTACTTGTATTTAACTTAGTATTTTACTTATATTTGACTCAGCTTTCTCATTGTGTCTCTGTTCTTGCCAAGGAGTTTTAAGTTTCTCTTCAAGGTCGAGGCTGTGTGATGGATGCATCCTCACAAGCTGTGCCTCTGCTGCTCATCCCTCCATTCCAGCTTGTCAGGCTGAGGCCATGAGGCCTTTCCCTCAAGCATTGGCCTGTCTGGTGATGTCTTCCATGTTCAGTCCGTGTTTAGGCAGTCATTTTAGTGAGGTTATATAGGTGTAGCAGTGCCCTTGAGGGAAGTGTCCTCAGGGTCCCATTGTCCTACAGTTCAGGAGCTAGAGTATGTGGCTCAGCAAGGGTAGGGGATGTGTCTGGAAAGGTAGAACAGAAAGGCAGCCCTCAAATCCCATTGGCAGTGCAGACAGCCTGCCAGAGTATCCACTCACTGGCCACTACTCTGTGTGACCCGCAGCTTAATAGCTAGACTGCTAATGTCCCTCGGAATGCTCAGAAACCTAAATTTCTGTTTCTTTGCTTTTAGTTGCTCATTTGAGAAAGGGACCTTTTCCTAATGACAGTAGTCCACCTGAAGAGAGATCCTTGGTCTGACCTGAGGCAGCAGAAAGTGAGCTGGGGAGAGATGGTCTAGAATGGTGTGACCACAGAGCAAGGTTGAGAAGAGCTGGACCCTGGTGCTGAACCACAAAAATACTGAGACTGTGCTGTGAAAAGCCCAGGGATCTACACACACACACACACACACACACACACACACACACACACACACACACACACACACACACCCGGACAGGCACCTGGGTTTTTTATTGTGCCGACTAGACCTGCCAAACCCTCAGAACGGATTATCTAGATTTTCAGATGGGCTATGTGGAATCATTGAAGTCATTGCCTAGAAATAGCTGTGCTATTGAAAGTCAAACTTATTTGAGAAGAATGTGGTCTTTGAGGAGGGCGACAGGGCTTCCCACCCACCGGAGGCTTGAGTCACACTGGTTTCTAGACTCCAGTAAACAGGCATGCTTTGTAACTTGGGTCTGTTGGTCTTGGCAGAGTGAGTTGGATAGCGAGAGCTGTAGCAACCTCCCCTTTCTGGAGGGAGAGAAGACTAAGCCACAAATGTGCATTGCTGGGGAAGCTGACATCACAGCAAATTAGAGTGTGTGTTCTCCACAGACAGGAGCAGCAATTAATGTGGAGATCTCTTGACAGTACATAAAAGAACTTGTACCTGGGACTTGGTGACAAAATGTAAATTACAGTGATTAAGTTCCCCTACATGTTTCTGGCTAGGCTGGGCCTTCCCCTCTGTCCTGCAGTCTTCCTTTTGACAACTGCGCAGGTTTTTTTTTTTTTTTTGGTGGCATCCTTGAGAACTACATTAATTACATGGGGAGGTTATATTGGAATGTCATTAAGAGAAGCCATCCCTATAGATAAGTTGCCATGGGGGTAGAAAATATGAAGTCTAGGTTCTAATTTTTATTTTTTTATAATTGTTCTTTCCCTTTTAGATCTTAAAAAGTATCGCTCAAAAAAACAGATTTACAGTGAACATAGGAGAGGTGAAGGTAACATTAACTCTAACATATTCATTCAAAAGTTTTAATACATTCTTAATAGCTGGAATTTTTGGTTTTTTCCTTAAGAGTCCTGGCCATGATGGTATGCAAGGTCAATATATAGTAATGAAAAGTGGCAATAAAGCCCTAGAGCATTCTGGTTCAGCTGCCCTTGAGCCCACACCCTACAGAAAGCTTAAAGAGCCAACCTCGTGCTTAACACACAGACACCTTGTTAGCAGGCTTCCATCACTGACAAATGCCTGCACAAGCAGCTCACTGGAGGGAAGACTTAATTTGTTTTTTTGGCTTCAAGGGTTTCAGTCTGAGATGTGCTGAGTCCATTGCTGGAGTCCAGGATAAGGCAGTGGTCACTCCTTTATTAGCCCCAAGCCCTTGTGATCCAGTCCCCTCTTGGTCAGTGGGAGACCAAGCCTTTAGCCAGCAGTTCTCAACCAGTGGCTTGTGACCCTTTGGCAAACCTCTATCTCCAAAACTATTCAAAACAGTGACACAGTGGTGGTTATGAAGCAGGAAGGAAAATAGTTTTATGGCTGGGGGTCAGCACCACATGAGGAACTGTGTTAAAGGGCCACAGCATTAGGGAGGTTGAGAATTGCTGCTTTTAGCCCATCAGCCTCTTGGGGAGGGATATGTCTGTCACACTGACCTCCTATCACTTCTTTTTGTAACATGCCAACTTGGCATGTTAGAGAACACAGGCCCCCTCAGTCACTCTTGTTAGTCAGCTATTCTGCTCGCCTCAGAATGCTTCGCTTCCCAAAGCCCCCTGAGAACCTTAATGCAGTTGGAACCCACATTTTTATTGTCACCTCGTAGAGGACTTCCCGCCGAGCACACATGCCCTCATCCCCTGTGCTCTCAAGTACCACCTGAGTGTATCAGCAGGTGGAGCCTGATGGGCAAACTGGAAATGCCCAGTCCTAATGCGCCCGCTTCTGGTCGGATGACTCAAAGTCTCACTAAGAGAATTCAAACGTCACATAAGTTCTCAGCCCATGACTCCAGAAAGCCATACTCCATTTCAGAGCTTGCTGTAGACACGTCTGCTTTCATGTGAGGGTTTTAGTACTTGTGTGTGTTAGTACTTAAGGCCTTGTGTGTCTAGCATGAACTTTTGAGAAGTTATTTCTAAATAAAAGTTTGCTGGTTTGTTTTTTTAATCTTTAAAATGTAACAAGGAAGAAGTTCTGATTGTCACCAGAGGGGCAGATTCAAGACCAAGAGAAATGCCTGCCTGTAAGACAGCTCAGTTTTGGGACTGGACCTTTTCTGGTTGACTTCATAAGCTAATGAACTGTTCGTGCCAGAAAAGCTCTTTCCTGGGATTGGTGAGGGGGCTTCTTGGGTGGAGCTTACAAGGCCTGCTGGGCTGTCTCTGTGTGTGTGTCTTACAGCTTACGTGTTTAAACTTTGTCCTGCAGATTCTGGGCCTCTTTCAGATGTAAGGATGCTTCCTGCCCTGTTTAGAAATCGTTCCATTGTTTTCATATGCAGCACTTTTTTGCCCCAAATCTTTCTGGCTGAAATTTTGTCAGTTGTTAACAGTTAATTGCCTGTCTTCTTCACACCACCTTCCATCCCTGATTCCCAAGTACTGAGGATTGAACCCAGAGTCTTACATTTGGTAACCAGATGCTATACCACTGAGCTACATCTCCAACTCTTTACTTTTTGATTCTGAGCAGGGTTTTTCTAAGTTCTCCGGGCTGGCCTTGGACTTCCAATCCACCTGCCACAGCCTCCCAAGTAGTTGGTGTTGCAGGCCTGCACACCAGATCTGATAGTCTTCATTTTCCTCCCTAGGTTGAGATTATTGTTTTTCTAAGTATTATAGACTAACTCAGAATTTCAAAGTGCAGCTCTGGAATCCAAAACCCAGAACTTTGGTTGAAAGCTCTTGAGTGCCTGTTTCAGCTCCATCAATAAGTTTGATTTGTGCAGAGCTTTGCATATAGTGAGCTTTAGGGATGCATTGCTTTGCTTCTATTGAGCCAGCTTCAGCCAGTCTGGATGAAGTGTCTTGCTGGATCTCCTCCAGCCTGTAGGAGTGATTACTATTTTATCTGGACTTCAGTGATTGACCAGTGGGAGTAGAAAACTGAACCATTGTGTCTGAAGTTTAAAGTGCGTGTTCAGCAATGAGCCCTATGTCAAGGCTTGAGGGTCTGGTGCAAAGCTGCCCCACAGCCCTGCCCCTCACAACAACCCTTCCTCAGCTCACTTGCAAGCCCAAGCCTTCCAGATGCATGAAGTAGAGGCTCAAAGCCATGCAGCAAGTGCAGAGGCCATTACTTGCCACTTTAAGCATCCTCTCAAGGTAAGAATTTGTGCACATGCTTCATTAAGGAAAAAGGGTGCTCTATGGCTTCTGCCAGAGGCCACCCTGGAACAGTCTTTTCCCTGTTAGTGTGTTGCCACATCCCTCCAGCTACAGCCAAAACACTTCTACTGAAAGAGAAGTGGTTTTGCTCAGCTAAATCCTTTCCAAACATGGAGGTGAATGTTTGTCTTTTGCTTTATTTCTAAGGTTAAGAGACGATCTGGTCAATTCTGTTTG